AATGTCGTCTTCGGTCAAGTCTTTGTTCATACCATTTGCTGATTTTTAAACTGGACTGTTTGTCGTTTTGACGTTGAGGTGTTGAAGTTTTCTCTACAGAGCTTAGACCGATATTCTATATGTGGTTGCCAAAAATTTCAACCTAGCCTGCAAGTTCTCTTTTTACTCTTTTGATAGTTTTCGAAGAGCAGAAGGATTTCATTTTCAGTAGATCATTTGTTAGAGAGACTACTTCTCCCCCCATTGAATGGATTTTGACCCTTTGTCGAAGATCAGCTGCCCATCGCTGCTGAGTTTACTTCTGCATCTGTAATTCGACTCCATTATTCTATATGTTCTTCCTTTTGGATTTCTTTGATTCTGTATTCTAGCCTTTTAATTTTACTTCGTAAAAATACAACACAGGCTTTTTGTGCTGTCATTGTAAAATAGCTTTAATATTTTCTCATATCTCTTTGAGGATGTTACTCATAAGATTTTGAAGAAAAAAACCTTTTGTTTATTGTGTTACCTGTTTCTTCAGGCCTTAAAAAAATAAAAAAAAATAGATGTGTATATATTCTTTCCTCTCTTTCATATTGAAAGCTTTCTTCAACTGCCTGAGGGTCCTTGGCTCTAATTATTTATATGTGAGACAGGATTTTAAATACACACACATATCTGAATATTCTGTGTTAGCCAAGCTTGTCAATGTGTAGGCTTCATTGTGGACTATCAAGTGGCAAAGTAATTATGTGATAAATGACCTCTTTACATCAGTGTGTATAGGTCTTCCCACCTCACCCCTACCTCCACCCCTGGAAGCTGTTAGGTGAAAGTCTACCAGTCTCCTGTCCAACCAGAGCAAACCTGGCTGCCAGCAGGGCAGGGTATGCAGGGGAATGGGTGAGAGGGGCATTGACATGTTCAATGTGCAGGCTTCCTTCGAGTTGTCTTGTTTTTATTCTGGCTTCTCAACTCTGATCTCTGCTTTGTCTGATGCATTTAGCCTAGATCCCAGAGATGAACGTTTCTCTAATTTAATCTTCCCATTTCCTGTGAGGAGGGAGTGAGGTAGGTACTGTGTGTTAGTCTGGGTACTTGAGAGAAACAAATCTACAGAAACTCATATGTATAAGAGAGAGTTTTATATAAAGGATAACTGCACATCAAGAAAACATCCTGACCCAGTGCTGCCTAAGCCCACAAGTCAACATTAACCCATATGTCTGACACCAATCCACAAAGTCCTCCTCCATCTCATAAAACACACACTGTGATGCTGACTGCAGGAGAAAAGTGGAATCAGTGAACGTGTAAGCATCTCAGTGCTGGCAGGGGTCTCCACACGGCTACTTCAGCACCTAGGGCTGCATCGGGGTAGGTAAATGCGGCTTCTCCTTGGGGATGTCTTGCAGGAAGTGAGCCTTGCCAGCTGAGGCAGGGAACTGGCTAAGGCAGTTACACCCTGGGCCAACCATCACAAAGCAACAGACCCAAGAACTAGAAAGGGGAGGCTCACTGAGCCATTTATCCCTCCCCCCTTTAACCCCACCTGTGTTTATCGGCCAGATTGGCACAATAAACTAACTCATACTGGCATGTGGTGGAGGTGAAAACCGGAAAGTGCAATTGTACTGATGCGCAATGTTTTCAGTATTGCCCCTTATTTGTACTTTTGGCAGTACCTGTTGCCTCCATCCTTGAGCCTTTTTGTTTCTTGGCATGTTTACCACTTGCAAATGGAAGCTCCGAGGTTTTGTGCCTTTTGGTCAGCTAAATCAATTACCATGCCTCTATTTTTCTTTTCATTTACCAAAAACTTAAAGACATGTTTAATTTTTATTATTGCTTTCATTATCTTTTTATTGACTCATTATTGTCTATCGTTTTGTAGGGTTTGGGATTAACAAAAATATCCCTCCTTGGTTTGTTTTTCAAGCGAAAAGACAGACTGTGGCTCTAGAACTCCTGGAATCAGAAAGAAAATATGTGATTAATATCTCTCTGATCCTGAAGATAAAGGCAACATTCCAGGGGTCAGATGGGAAGAGGAATACCAAAGAGAGAAGGTATCCATAAATTCATTGCCTTTGGTTTTCAGATTGATTAAGATTTAAGGTAAGTTGTTTATTGTTTCCACTTTTGGAAATCTGGGCTTCTAAAAAGTTCTAGAAATAGCCGTTGAAAAGAAATTGGTTCTTGGGGCAGGTAACCGGTGGTAAGTCTCAAACACAGGTTTTCAGCAGGTTAGGAGATGAATATAGAGCCCTGTGCCTTCAGAGTCCGTGGAGTGTCTGCTAAGACCCTGGCCAGCAGCAGTTGCCCTCGAGTTGGCTACAATGAACCCATGTGGTCAGAGAGGAACTGTGCTCCCTAGGTTTTCAATGTCTGATTTCTCAGAAGTCGGTCACTAAGCCCAGGTAACGCTGGGTGGATGCAAACCTCTAACCTTACTGTTAGCACCCAAGAGCACGAACCATTTGGCCAACAAGGGGGAAATAAATGCTACGACAGGCACTGCTTTCTGTGCTGCTGTCTGCACGGGAGAGCATTGTGCAATGGCTGTTGTGGAGGTCTGAAGCACAGCCATTAGAAAAATGTCACAGCACTGATATAACTCTAGAATTAGACGGATCTTATTATTTGTTCAGGTGATTCCCTACACAAATCCAAAACAAACCCAACGTCATTGAGTTGATCTAATCCAGAGTGACCCATAGGACAGAAAAGAACTACCCTATAGGGTTTCCAGTGCTAATCACCTCTAAAAATGCAGACTGTGATGTCTTTCTCACGAAGAGCAGCTAGTGGGGTCACACCACTGACCTTTTGGGTAGCAGCCAGGCTCGTAACCACTGCTCCAGATATTTCATATTACTTGTTTAGGTGACCCCATAGTACTGGCTAACACGTGAGTGTGCACACACACGTGGTGTGGGCAGTATGATTGTCCAATTCAAAGTGGCTAATGCCAGTCCATTTCAGCTCATGAATGCCTAGAATATTGCTCTTTAGGAGTTCGATTTAATTTTTTACAATTTCTAATTTTCCTAGATTCATACTTTGTATGTTCCATTTTGAGTTATTAATGAATATTTGCAGCTGTTCTTTCGTATTTTAGTTGTGCCCCATCAGCAAAGAAAGGTTCTACAAGCTCTACTCCATGCATGTTATTAAGGGCAAGTACTTCGAGCATTAGCATTGAAGACTAATAACAGAAGACCTCAAGAGACTGATGTACAGCAGTTAAAACACATGGAGGAAACGATGAAGTAAAAGCTAAAACAAAAATTTCAAAGGCCAGCTGCAGAAGAGAAAGTTGAGCATTGTAATGAAATGTGCAAAAGCCTGGAGTTAGAAAGCCAAAAAGGAAGAATGTGCTCAGCACGCCCACGTTGCACGAACTGAAGAAACATTCACGCCTCGAATCACAATATGGAATTGCAATGGCAAAAATGTTGAAAGCTGCAGGAAGCATCAGAAGACGGAAAGAAGGCAGAGTCACTGGACCAAAGGAACCAGCCGACAGTCAGCCGTGTCCTATGAGCCAGAGCCCACAGCGCTGAAGGAGGAAGTCTGAGCTACACTGAAGACGTTAGCAAAACAGTAAAGCTCTAGAAATGGCCAGATTTCCAGTTAATGTATTTCAACAAGTTGCGGAAGCACTGGAGACACCCATTCATCTTCATCAGTGCCAGAATATTTGGAAGACAAGCTACCTGGCCAACCAGCTTGATGGCATCTAACAACAGCAACAACAACCACAACGACTCCTTCGAGGAGACACTTCTCCGGTCTCATTTTAAGTGCCTTCAAACTTGAGGGGCTCCTCTTCTGGCAATGTATCAGACAGCGTTCTGCAGCTGTTTACATTGCTGTGAGCGGTGAGCTTTGCAGATTTGGATAGCCTCTTCCTTCTCTGTGTTTGTTCTGAGTCTGGAAGCTCTGCTGAAGCCTACTCACCCGGGGTGATCCAGCTTCTATTTGAAACACCAGTGGCAAAGCTTTTCAGCATCACAGCAACACACAAGCCACCACAGTAGGTCAAGCTGATAGGTGATGGGAAATGACATCCGACTCTGGGTGAATTTGCGGTGAAAGGTCTACCTTAAAGTTTTTTGGGGTTTTTTTTTTTTTGACATTTGACAAGGTTTAAGAGCAGAGCACATATTGGGAACTAGATGAAAATGGATCATGAATTCAATAAAATCCAATTTTCTCTTATGCATGGTACTTATGTACACACTTTTCTTGTCCTGCTGTTTATGAGAAAATATTATATATCACTTGTCAAAACGCATACAGATTCATATTTCATTTTTGCCCTGAGATTTATCCTGCTTATGTTTATGAAGTTTACAGAGTTGTGGTATTTATCTACTATTTTCAACATTACTTTATGACTCACTGATGCATTTTTGAACCACTTATCTAATTCTTATGAGTCTAAAATTTAATGCAATAGAATAGCAAAAAAAAGAAAGAAACCTTTCAATGTTAGCAATCAGTATCACACAAATCACCTGAAAATGTGCTGCTAAAAAGGAAAGAAATTGTTCAAGTAGAATATGACATGAAACAAAATAAGTACTGCAGTTCTTATATAGTACATATTCTACCTTAGGGCAAAAATATTAACAATATAATCAGAAGAACACCTGCACAGCCTTGTTGTACATCTTTTTCACCAGAACTAGTATGTTTCTCCCTTAAAATTTTAAAAAGCAAAAATACCAGTTTGAAGACTACAGTTCATGTGACCATAGCCAGGGTGTTTTCAATGGCCGCAGATGCATGCACAAGCCGGGCCCTGAATAAAGAAGACTGGAGAAGTTGTGTTCTTTGGGGATGACTCAAGAATATACCATGGACTGTCTGGAAAGAAGTGCAGCCAAAATGCTTTTTAGAAGCAAGTAGGGAGAAAAGGTGTCTCATGTGCTTTGGATATGTTACCAGGAGTGATTAGTCTCTGGAGAAGGGCATCATGTGTGGTGCAAAGTAGAAAATTAGCAAAACAAGAGGAAGACCCCTGAGGAGATGGACCAACAGTGGCCGCCATCATGACCTCACATGTAGCAAAGATCATGAGGGTGGTCAGGGCCCAGTATGTTTCCTTCTCTTTTTGGAATGCCCTGTTTACAAAGAGGATTCAAAATGGGTGTGGAAAAATTAAAAGATAATAAAAAGTTCTCGTGAATGCCACTTTGTAGGTAGGATCACTACAAGTCTGAACAGGCCCACTGGCTCTTAACGTTTTCAAGGTTTATACACCTCATGGCATGTCAGGATTTTCACTTCTCTTTTTGGCTGCGTAATATTCCACTATTTTATATGCCATGCTTTGCTTACTTATGTATTAATTGGGCATTTGGGTTGTTTCCAACCTTTGTCTCTTGTGACTAGTGCTGCAATAACATTATTGTATTTGAATATTTGTCTACATTAGTACTAAATATGAAGTTCCTCTTCTCAGCTTTG